GAAAACTGGGAGTAATTACTTAGACTTAAGTAATTATAAAATCACATTATTCTTTAATATTTTAATTTTTAATATTTCATTATGGAGAAATACTTATTCACCGAATAGCAGTGGGGAAAAAAAACAAGTTAGACTTAACTAATCACGTAAAAGTTGTAATGGACTTAAACCTGCCCCTAAATGAGAATCGACTAAACGACGTTTCGAGCTCATTTGCTCATTCTGAATTTTAGAAAATACATTTCTATAATATAATTTCGTAAAACATCCATTCTTGGTACACCAAATACAACACTACTACTCCTCTCATTTTATGAATATTTATGCTTGTCATTCCCGAAACTCGGTACTACACCTTCCCTCCATTGTTTAATCAACTCGAAACATCTTTTATATAACAGGTTTATATAATCTTTGAAGACAACATATACAATTATATAATTACTTTGCATTATTTATATTCAGTTTATTTACAATCTCTATGTCCAGAGAGTAGAAAAGTTCAAATACTCCGTTTCAATGAATGAGAATATCCTTCATGAATGGCAAACGGTTGGAAATAGACCAGCGTGGGTATTCACATTCATAGGCGCAGACTATCGATTTTGATTGAGGGGGGGCGATAGAACAAAAATATATGGTGAGAGTAGTTATTCTTTGTAAAAATTCATCGTAATTATTGCCAAACGAACAAATATAACATTGATTATTTAAAACTAATTTATTTATATGTTTGTATAGTTATACAGTTTTTTTTTTGTTTTAATTATCATATATACGTTGGGTTAGCAAATGATTCCTTTCGGTTTTTCTGTTTATTTTTATGTCGCTATGATATCTGATGAATTAATCCCTAAGGTGGAATCGTTTATCCTGTTTCTAATATGTCAACAACTATATCTGTTAATTCATGTTGAAAATAGCTTAGTATTTTATTTCCTCTAGAAAACCCATCTGGAAGCAACAACGAATGCCTCAATAATAGGCAAGAGACAACGAGGAAGAGCGAACCCTCCCCTCCCCTCCCCCCAACTTGTCAAAATAATCCAGTTATAGAAGTCATTAGGCCCGATATTTTTGTAGGTCACCTTTTTTTCTTGATTTTGTGATCAAATTATCTTACGATTCGAGTGGAAAATAAATGAGTATTCACGAGTTTTTAATACTTCAATGAATTAGTTAATTTAATAAGAGAACTCCCCATTTCTGAGAATATTCGTAAATTTAAAATTTGTAGGTTAAGATTAGTGTAGCCCAAATGGGAGTCCCGCAACAGTGTTGTAGTTACCTATTAGGCTATTACTGAAGGGATATTACTGCAATTTTTCAGTTGAGGGAAACCTAACTAAGTACGAATGAAAATTTGGAAGTGTTAACTGTAAAATATATATTGGTTACAGTAATGCCTTAAGGGGACCCTACACGGTCAATCGGAATTGCACTAATGACGTTCCGAATTGTCGTGTAAGGTAGTGAATGAAGTACTGATGGAGACTGAGGTAAAAGTAGTGGGGAGACTAACCATACTGCTGGATAGGTTAGGTTACCTAGGCCTCACAACCATTATTAATTTCTGATTTTCATTGTATGTAAATAGTTAAATAATTTTTTATATCCCTTGTTTATAATTTTAAACCATCTTCAACTATTTCTTTTAAATAGTCAAGTGGGCAACAAATTAAAAAAAAAAATGAGGAAACTTCACAATTTACTTTAGGAAAAAAAAAACTTTAACGTTGTGTATATTTATCAGTTCTTTTCCCATTTTCCTCAACAAATTTATTATTTTCGCAATACCTTTCCTTAATTTTTGTAAGTGGTAGACTTATATTTTACTAACTTTTGTCAAAAGGATTTTCTATGAGACTAACCTTACTACTAAATAGGTTAGTTTACCTAGGTCTCGTTATTAAGTAAATAATTTCATAAAAGTAAATAGTTGTTTATATCCCTAGTCTATATTGTTATTAAACATTTTCAACTATTTTTTTCTTTAAATAGTCAAGTAGGCAATAAATTGAAGAGAAAAAAAAGTGGAAACTTCACATAAGTAATGATCAGTAATGATTGAACGTGTAAGGGTCTTCATGATCAAAGCGATAGCGGGCAATCTTGGAACTTCTTGTGACGTTCATTCATGAATTACCGTGTAGGGTCTGCTATACACACAGTAACTAAAATTGTCAAGTATTAGTAACTATTTTGCCTTAATTTTTATTCACAAAACGCCTTTTAATTTTTTTTTTTTTATTTACCTTTCTTGGTCTTGCAACAACGGTATTGGGCTTGGTATTGCAAAGTTCAAGACCAAGACCGATTTTGGACAATACTATTTAAGATAAGATGAAGTTTTAGACAGATGTTAATAATTTGATAAAATTAAGGCTGTACCGAAGACATATATTGTTAGCAATCAGTATAAATAAAATGCCAAACGCCAAACTTAAGGAAAGACTATTTTATTTATTTAATAGTAATAATAGAAAATAAATTTCTTTTTATCAACAGCAATACTGTAGAACCTGAGTTGAGTACAAACGCACACTCTATATTCTAACTGAGTAAGCGATTTATAATCCAAAAAAAGAAATTTACGAGACAAGAAACACAGAACATTACTCATCGCAGTAAGCCACTTATGAAGACTTGCCTCTCTGAAAAATAACATCAAAGAAATAAACCGTGCTAGTTAACTTCATGCTCTCTCTTGATTACAATTTATTATGCAATATCTCACGGCAAACGTAAAAGACAAACCAGTATTTATATGCGCGCTCTAGTTTCCATTATAACTACAGTTATTGGGGCAATAACAAATTGTAATAAAACCGCCTCAAAGCGGCGTTTAAGTCTCAAAGTAAAATATATGAAAAGCCTATTTGTAAAATAAAATTAATTGTTTCAACTTCTTCGTCCGCCTAAGGTAGAGATTTTACGGTAATCAATCAAAATCCAGATTTATATGGAAATCGATTTATGATTTAATATCGATATTTCGTTTTTATTTTATAAGATTTAGTGTTATTCATTATTTATTGGTATTAAAATAAAGGCCGAAGGTTGAATCTATAATAATATGAAACTAGTAGGCCACTGCGAAAAATTCGCACAGCATATTGTTATCAAAAGGCAAATTAATAAGAAAAGAAAATAATGCAACGTATCAAAATATAAAGAAATTAAATGTTCCTTTATCGATAAATATAATCGACAAAGAAAACAAAAATTAATTTAAATCTTCATTTCTTCATTTCAACATGTTTACAAATTTCTGTAAGCTTTATCTTTGCTAAATATTGTCCGATTTCAAAATATTTTTTTTTCATTTTGAACTATCCGGGTCTTGCTGTACGCATCAAAATCTTCAAGCGAAATGTTTGTATCGACTTTATTTATTTTGGAAAGAAAAACAAAAGTGGAGAATACGATTCGCTAACCCCCCGTGAAATTCTGAATCCAACGGTACCCCATTTATGGCTCAATCTTGAGATTTGGTGAAGAATTAACGATGGTATGGCTTGCCGATCAAAAACACCATCGATAAAATATATAAACTCCTCCTCTCTCGATCATAGAGACCTCAAGTCGACGAAATGAGACATGTATTCAATGACAGTACTACAATTAATGTAAGGTTGTGTGGATGCGAACCCTATGCCTTGCGTTATATCGAAAATAGTACGTTTTTGGAATTAAAAACGGAGGATCCGATAGTTCCGGAGAAACTATTGCGTCTTGCAGTACGCATCACAATCTTCAAGGTCCAATTTGTCCCGTATCGATCTACAGACCTACCACCGTTCCAGTATCGAAGCCTAGCAAAAAGTTTGTATCAACTTTATTTATTTTAGAAAGAAAAACAAAAGCGGAGAATACGATTCGCTAACCCACCGTGAAATTCTGAATCCAACGGTACCCCATTCATGGTATTTGAGCATGACAGGAGCTTATATTTGGTACAAAACCGATTTCGAGCCTTACTGTAGTAATATATATGGGGATGGGGATGGCCATAACAGAAAAGAAACAAGATTCGCTATAAACTATAAACAATGTGAATAACCTTATTAAAATTATAAACAGTAAGTAAATTTAAATATAAACAGAGCAAGCTAAGTAACAAGATCCTAAACTTAAGTAAATTGATGGTACCAATTGTTGTAGTGTAATATATAATATATGCATGTAATTACAAAATTACACTTTTTCTAGGTTTACATAATTTTCTAGGGTTTTCCCCCATTACCCAAGAAAGTCAGCAAATTCCCCAATACCTGGCCTTACCCTGATTTTCCAGTTCTAAGAGAAACTCCTAGCTGAACACACCTGTAAGTCTCTATTTTTAATCTTATAATTTTTTTTTCTACATTCCTTAATGTCTATTATTCCATATTATATTCTTTTTCCTTGTCTTTCAATTTCTCCTGTAGATGTGTAGAAGTATACTCACATTTGCATATATTATATATTACACTACAACAATTGTTACCATCTATTTAATTCAGTTTAGGATCTTGTTACTTAGCTTACTCTGCTTATATTTTAATGTACTTAGTGTCAATAATTTTAATAAGCTGATTCACATTGTTTGTAATTTTTTGTCATAATATTATGTAACTTCCACAATTCTCTATCTTTTTGTATCTTGTCCGTTCTAGCTCTGAAGAAGACGTGCAAAGTCGGGTCAAACGTTGGATTTTAATAAAATAGTTTTGCCACTATTTAACCTTTTTATGACCGCCAACCCGTACCATCTTCCTTTATAATGCAACGGTCAACTATTAAATATTCAATACATAAAAAATGCTTCTTTAATTACTATGATTTTCATTGGAACTCCGTATTTCTCCGGCGTAAGACAAATATAGTCTCTGTTCACCGGATCGAAGGCCTTCTCGGAGTCTACCAATCTATGTAGCTTAGATCAAAAACCCTCAAAGGTGATTTCTACTACACCTTATCGAAAACTTTACTAATATCAAAGAAAATAGGGAACATCCTTACCTGAACATGAACTTGGCCCGGGACTCCGCCACAGACCCCTTGGTCCTGATGTGGTCCAGCAGATCCCCCTTCTCGCAGTAGTCCATGAACATGTAGACCAGGTCGTTCAGCTCCACCACGCTGTAGACGGACACGATGTGCGGGTGGTGGATCGACCGGACGATGCTGATCTCCCGCGGAAGGAACTTGCTCACGAAGTCCTTCGACGCCTTCTTCTTGTTGATCACCTTGCAGGCCACTTTGTTCGTGTAGCCCAGCTCGGTGGCCCGGTAGGCGACTCGGACCTAGCAGAGGATCAGTCGTTATTGCCATCAGAGGATCACTATCTTAAAGTAAATAGTGTATAGAGCAAACATAAGGAGTATCGCAGGAAGGGTTGTTCTTGTGGTGCAAAATAATCTATTCCAATCACTGAGCATTGACGGATCCAGGATTTAATTTTTGAGGGTGAGAGTGACTTTAGCCCATTTCTTTTTTTACTTTCATACCTATACTAGGTAAGGAAAGTATTGCGATCGGGTCAAATTTCCGACATCCGAAGGATCTGTACGTTTCAGAGCTCTCCCTGAGTCCGAAAAACACATTTTTAGCCATTGGTCTGTCTGTTTGTGCCAAGATTTTCTCGGGAACTATTGAACCGATTTTGTTGCTTCTTTTTTTATTTTCTAGCGTTTTGAATACAGATACCGTTAAGTTATTTTATTTTCTTCACTTGTTTTAATTTATTACTTTCCTACCTATACTAGATAAGGAAAGTATTGCGATCTGGTCAAATTTGAGATATATTGTTTTCGACGGATCTATACGTTTCAGAGCCCCCTAGTCGAAAATTTAGCCTGTTTTTAAAAAGGTAGTGAAATTTCCTACAAAACTATATGAAAATCGTTTATTGTGGACAACTATTAAGGAAGTTACAGCTATTCAATCTCCAATGATTTTGTTGATTCTTCTTTTATTTTGTAGAATTTTGACTACTGATGCCTGTGACTTTGAATTTGGTGATCCATGCGCAATAAATTAAAAAACATGTTTTCTATAGACTGTAGCGTAAAAACGGCTCTTACGATTTTGATGAAATTTTCCTATAATGTTCTAATAATTCTTCTTTCAATTTCCGTACATGGAATAAATTACCGAAAAAATTCAGCAAAAAAAAGTTATAAAGAAAATAATTTTTTTGAGGTCTAACTCGCTAAGTGTATATTATAGGTAAAATTTATAATAAAACTTTTTAAAGGTTATTAAATTGCCAACAACAAAAACAAAAAAAGAATCATCGGAATTGAACCATTATTAACGATGATACAGCTTATTCTATTTTCTTCACTTGTTTTATTTTATTACTTTCCTACCTATACTAGATAAGGAAAGTATTGCGATCTGGTCAAATTTCAGATATACTGTTTTCGACTGATCTATACGTTTCAGAGCCCCCTAGTCGAAAATTTAGCCTGTTTTTTAAAAGGTAGTGAAATTTCCTACAAAACTATATGAAAATCGTTTATTGTGGACAACTATTAAGGAAGTTACAGCTATTCAATCTCCAATGTAAGATTACGGGTTCATATCATGGGGTGAATGAGAGAATAAAGATGACTAATATTAGAGAGTATTGACATTTTTACACTGATCTACCTTAAGCCGGTTTACATTGCTATAGTTTATCAAAATAAATCGTACTCAAATCTTTTATTTTATCAATTTTCAGGAAAATAAATCTAGTTCAATTTGTTTTTGTTTCTTCATGAACATATGTGAAAACGTAAAAACTTTTCTGAAATAGGTAGGAAAGTCGTGTGAGAGTGGACACACCAGATATTTTAAAATATATACATATAACGATAATTGCTTTACAATAAAAAGAAAGAAACTATATGAAACAGACTAAAATCATTTTGATAAGAACAATAGTATTGATGCTTATAGATGGGTTGCTACGAGCTACATGTCCCACACATCTTAACTTCACTACGTTCATATCATTAGATATTGATCGACCGGTTTCTGTAAACATGTCCTTACTATTCTGATACATTCGTCGTAAACCTATGACTTCCTATTCTACCTATCCTTTAACAATTCCACTTTGAACAAATCGGATAGCTACTCCACCTGGACAAACAACTCACTTAGTATCCTCGTACAAAATTGAAACGACAATAAACCGCTCGACGTTTTCAATTACTCCGTTATACGAGCGTTACTTACTAGAAAAACGCTCTAAACTTCCAATCAATTACAAAAGACCCATATACATGACTATAATAAGGCCTATTTGGACTTACGGAGTTGAGCTATGGGGCTCCACCAAACCATCAAATTCCTCTCGTATCCAATCCTTACAATCAAAAATCAAATTAACGAAAACCAAATTATAACGAGTTTTATGGAAGATAGATTAAAATATCTAAGAAACTAAAAATCGAACCTGCATAGTGTGATCGTGGGAAAATTTCAACAATTCATCCTCTTTATAATGAATTATTATTCAAAATTATATCTTAATGAGATGCCATGTTAGAGAAGCGAAAAGGAAAAAATATTGTTGAAAAGCAAATGATAACGAGTTATATGGAAGATATGGATTAAAACATCTCAGAAAGTAAAAAATTGGATCTGCATACTGTAAGCGAGGGAATTATTCAACATTTCATCCTCTTTATAATAAGCTATTATTCAAAATTATATTTCAACGAGACGCCATTTTAGAGAAGTGAAAAGAAAAAAAAATTACCGAAAAGCAAACGATAACAAGTTTTATGGAAGATATGGATTAAAACATCTCAGAAACTAAAAAATTGGATCTGCATACTGTAAGCGAGGGAATTATTCAGAATTTAATCCCCTTTTTAAAGTTATAATTCAAAATTGTATATATCTAAACAACGCGACGCCATGTTAGAGAAGCGAAAAGAAAAAATATTGTTAAAAAGCAAATTATAACGATTTTTATGGAATATAGATAAAAATATCTCAGAAAGTAAAAATCAAACTTGCATTATGTAAGCGAGGAAATTGTTCAGCATTTCATCCTCTTTATAATGAGCTATTATTCAAAATTATATCACAACGAGACGCCATTTTAGAGAAGCAAAAAGGAAAAAAAAATTATCGAAAAGCAAATGATAACAAGTTTTATGGAAGATATGGATTAAAATATCTCAGAAAGTAAACAATTGGATCTGCATACTGTAAGCGAGGGAATTATTCAACATTTCATCCCCTTTTTTAAGAGATATAATTCAAAATTTTATATACCTAAACTACGTGACGCCGTTTTAGAGAGGCGAAAAGGAAAAAAATAGTGTCGAAAATCAAATGATAACGAGTTTTATGGAAGATATGGATTAAAATATCTCAGAAAGTAAAAAATTGGACCTGCATACTGTAAGCGAGGAAATTATTCAACATTTCACCCCCTTTTTTAAGAGATATAATTCAAAATTTTATATATCTAAACTACGTGACGCCATGTTAGAGAAGCGAAAAGGAAAAAACTATTGTTGAAAAGCAAATGATAACGAGTTATATGAAAGATATGGATTTAAATATCTCAGAAAGTAAAAATCAAAGTTGCATTATGTAAGCGAGGAAATTGTTCAGCATTTCATCCTCTTTATAATGAGCTATTATTCAAAATTATATCACAACGAGACGCCATTTTAGAGAAGCAAAAAGGAAAAAAAAATTATCGAAAAGCAAATGATAACAAGTTTTATGGAAGATATGGATTAAAATATCTCAGAAAGTAAAAAATTGGATCTGCATACTGTAAGCGAGGGAATTATTCAACATTTCATCCCCTTTCTTAAGAGATATAATTCAAAATTTTATATACCTAAACTACGTGACGCCGTTTTAGAGAGGCGAAAAGGAAAAAAATAGTGTCGAAAATCAAATGATAACGAGTTTTATGGAAGATATGGATTAAAATATCTCAGAAAGTAAAAAATTGGACCTGCATACTGTAAGCGAGGAAATTATTCAACATTTCACCCCCTTTTTTAAGAGATATAATTCAAAATTTTATATATCTAAACTACGTGACGCCATGTTAGAGAAGCGAAAAGGAAAAAACTATTGTTGAAAAGCAAATGATAACGAGTTATATGAAAGATATGGATTTAAATATCTCAGAAAGTAAAAATCAAAGTTGCATTATGTAAGCGAGGAAATTGTTCAGCATTTCATCCTCTTTATAATGAGCTATTATTCAAAATTATATCACAACGAGACGCCATTTTAGAGAAGCAAAAAGGAAAAAAAAATTATCGAAAAGCAAATGATAACAAGTTTTATGGAAGATATGGATTAAAATATCTCAGAAAGTAAACAATTGGATCTGCATACTGTAAGCGAGGGAATTATTCAACATTTCATCCCCTTTTTTAAGAGATATAATTCAAAATTTTATATACCTAAACTACGTGACGCCGTTTTAGAGAGGCGAAAAGGAAAAAAATAGTGTCGAAAATCAAATGATAACGAGTTTTATGGAAGATATGGATTAAAATATCTCAGAAAGTAAAAAATTGGACCTGCATACTGTAAGCGAGGAAATTATTCAACATTTCACCCCCTTTTTTAAGAGATATAATTCAAAATTTTATATATCTAAACAACGCGACGCCATGTTAGAGAAGCGAAAAGGAAAAAACTATTGTTGAAAAGCAAATGATAACGAGTTATATGAAAGATATGGATTTAAATATCTCAGAAAGTAAAAATCAAAGTTGCATTATGTAAGCGAGGAAATTGTTCAGCATTTCATCCTCTTTATAATGAGCTATTATTCAAAATTATATCACAACGAGACGCCATTTTAGAGAAGCAAAAAGGAAAAAAAAATTATCGAAAAGCAAATGATAACAAGTTTTATGGAAGATATGGATTAAAATATCTCAGAAAGTAAAAAATTGGATCTGCATACTGTAAGCGAGGGAATTATTCAACATTTCATCCCCTTTTTTAAGAGATATAATTCAAAATTTTATATACCTAAACTACGTGACGCCGTTTTAGAGAGGCGAAAAGGAAAAAAATAGTGTCGAAAATCAAATGATAACGAGTTTTATGGAAGATATGGATTAAAATATCTCAGAAAGTAAAAAATTGGACCTGCATAGTGTGATCGTGGGAAAATTTCAACAATTCACCCCCTTTTTTAAGAGATATAATTCAAAATTTTATATATCTAAACAACGCGACGCCATGTTAGAGAAGCGAAAAGGAAAAAAATATTGTTGAAAAGCAAATGATAACGAGTTATATGAAAGATATGGATTTAAATATCTCAGAAAGTAAAAATCAAACTTGCATTATGTAAGCGAGGAAATTGTTCAGCATTTCATCCTCTTTATAATGAGCTATTATTCAAAATTATATCACAACGAGACGCCATTTTAGAGAAGCAAAAAGGAAAAAAAAATTATCGAAAAGCAAATGATAACAAGTTTTATGGAAGATATGGATTGAAATATCTCAGAAAGTAAAAAATTGGATCTGCATACTGTAAGCGAGGAAATTATTCAACATTTCACCCCCTTTTTTAAGAGATATAATTCAAAATTTTATATATCTAATCAACGCGACGC